GATCAGTGGCGTGTATTGGGGGCAGTTTGTGTGAATGGGGGGGCAGTTTGTGTGTATTGGGGGCAGTTTGTGTGAATGGGGGGGCAGTTTGTGTGTGTGTATAGGGCAGTTTATGTGTATTGGGGCAGTTTGTGTGAATGGGGGCAGTTTGTGTGTATGGGGCAGCTTTGTGTGGAAATTGGGGCAGTTCAGTGTAGGGGCAGTTTGTGTGAATGGGGGGCAGTATGTGCGGGGTATGGGGAGCAGGCAGTGAGCGTGGGGGCAGTGTGTGTATGGGGCTGCATGTGTGTGGCTGGGGGGCAGTATAAAAGTGTAGGCGGGGGGGGGGCAGTATGTGTGTATGGGGGGAAGTATGTGTGTGTAGGGGGGGCAGTTTGTGTGAATGGGGGGGCAGTATTGAGGGCAATGTATGTGTGTGTGGCTTTTTTTTAATAATATATATATTTTTTATTTAATTATGGGGGACATATTTCGATCCCTGCTGGTCCCAGTGGGGATTCCCTGGTGGTCCCGGGCTAGAGTTCACTCTCGCGAGATTTGAAGCGTTGCCGTGGTAACCGCGGCAACGCTCCAAATCTCACGAGAGGAGGACCCGGAGGAGCTGCAGACTGAGCTCCCGGGTCCTCTCTCACTCACTCCCTCCCCTGCCGGCTGTCAGCACGGTGCCTGCGGACCGGGGAGGGAGATCTCTGATCTCCCCCTCGGTCCACAGGCACATTGCAGGGCTAGCACCTGCATGTCCTGGCAGGGGAGAGGGAGACCGGCGGAATTCTCGGGGGGAGCAATTGCCCCGTTGCCCCCCCCCCCGGATCCGCCACTGCTCTGCATTCGCCCAGTGGTGTATCCTGGTTTTGTGCTGCCCAAGGCTTATGTATGGGGATGGGGCATGCAGCCGTAATTGCTGTACATTGTGCAGGGAGACTGACTAGTCTCCCTCCGGCCGCATGCAGAGTAATTGCGGCCACACCAGCCCCTAGATCCTCTCTCATTACTCCCAGTGGACTGACACAGGCTGGTACAGTCCAAGAGGAGAATTATTTAAATTACATGCGCCCGATCAGTGATGATTAGGGCTGTCAGCCCAGCCCCAGGTGCCGCGGCCCACTGGGAAATTTCTCAGTATCCTGGTGGGCCAGTCCAGCCCTGGTTGTCAGGCAATTTCTTAAATATATAACTAATAAAATCAATATAAAAACAATAAATAAATATACACGTAGAATAACATTTTTATTCCTGGGCTGCCATATGGTCTCAGAGCAACATAAGCCCAGAAAACCAATATGGCAAATTTCAATGTGTAAAATCTGAAATGGGCAAGCCCTATATTTGACCCTGTAACTTTAAAAAACTCCATGAAACCTGTATGTGAGTGGTATCTTTGTACTCATGAGACATTGCAGCATGCAAACGTGTGTTTTATTGCAGTAAAAGCTAACACTATTATGACATTCACAGTTAAAATGCCATGCAGAACTTGGAAAATACAATTTTGTAATTTCTCACACTTTTTTTTAGATATTAAATTGTATTCCACATTTAAATATTTGATTTGAAATGAAAGCCCTGTTTCTCCTGAACAAAATGATATATAAGTGTGGGTGCGCTTAATATGAAAGAGGTAAATTATGGTTGAACAGACATATAGTTAAACTTCCAGGTTTTGTTTGGTCAGAACTTACAATTGCCTGCGTCCATAAAGGGCTAATGAATGAAATTAATGAAAAAGCAAGGCAGGACTAGATACGCATTACGACTAGATACGCAACCCAAGCACAGAAACTAAATAGGAAACTCTTAATTGGTGATCAAAGATGTGGTACTTTTTTTCAACATTTCCTATCACTGTTATACATATTATTAAACCCATCATTTAAAATAAATAAATAAATAAATAAATAAAATCTCTCCAAAATTATACACACAGCCTCTTGCAGCTGTAACCAAGCAGAGCTATACTATCACTGCAGTGACACAACCTATCTGGCAGGTAGCTACATGTTTAGTATTTCTAAGTATCCCTCCCTAAACAGCAGGGGCTAGTCTGTACACAGATATTTCCCAGGCATGTAGGATGATGAGACAGGTGATTTGTAGCAGCTGAAGTACAACATGGCAGGCACAGGGACCCATGGGAACACTTGCCTCCTGGCTGTTATAATTAGTGTTGCAAGCTTCCTGGACACCAGAGAAACCTATAGAGTAATTCAGAGCGGATCAGCAGTATAGGCTGGGGCTGGGGCTGGGGGACAAGGATATTTTGCTGTCTCAGAGTGATCTCCCTGTACCCAGCTGGTGTGGCACCCCCCCTCCCTCCTGTGGATAGCACAGCCCCTCTCTCTGTGCTGACATGGGATTCGCACAGTCCAGATCTCTGGAAACCCAGGAACTTGTGGAGAAGACGGGCTGTAAGTAGATGGGGGTTCCCCTGCTGTCCTGGGATGTGGGGAGGCTGCATGGACCACAGGGGTGGAGGGTGATGATGGGCTGATACCTCAACTAATCACTTGCATGGTTTGGGTTTACAGGGTGAGTGACCAGGACTTAGAGGGGACCATGCATAGTGCATTAGATGCTGCTTTTAATATGTGTGTCTGTGGAATTAGAAGAGTATTGTTTTAGAACATATATATATATTTTATTGGGTGTTGTGTTTATTTTAATCATGAATTGATGTAAACTTATTTAACTGCTGCTTAAAAAAGCATAGTGAGTATGACAGAGGGGGCCTGGGGGTAAGGGAGAGGTGCATTGTTTTTTTGTTTTTTTTAAAGTGTCAAGCCTGATAAACCTGTTTTGATGTATTGTACAAGGGTTATACATTGCTGGGTAGGTTGCCTCTAAGAATCAGTTGTGGAGCTTCACTCTATCAAGGGACTGCACTGCAATATATATGGGTATTTAAATGAAGACTAAAAACTTCATCAGTTAAGAACTTCCTCCTAAATTTTACTAGCATTTCAACCCTGGGAACGAAAACAAACACATATCAGTTTAATAAAAGTGTGCTTAAAATATGCCTTAAGTAAAAGCTCAGAAAATATCCCCAGAGCAAAACAAACATTTCACAGGCTTGCTAGAACATTTGAGAACTGCATCATCATAACAGCTGCTGTCATTGAAGTTTTGTCACTGATCTGCGTTGATGAAAGAGGATCTGGGGACACCCCCTACTCCCCTACACCCATGTAATATCTCCTATTGTATTCCATCCTCTCTGCCCTTCTGTAGGTTTCAAAATATATGTGGCACAGCTAAAATTGACAAGCCAGGATTTTAGAGTAATTTGCCTATTGTATAGAGTTACTTGCCAGGATCACAGTGTACATAGCACAGCACATTATTAGCATCATTCTTCTTAAATGTATAAATTGGGAGCAGTGAGAGAGTAAAGGATGGAGTGAGGGTGTAACTGTGTGTCATAAGCAGCAGGAAGAATAAATTGTGCTTTTTGATTGGCAAACTAGGATGGTCTACATAAAATGTATAATTCCAACAGGTATGAGATTGCACACAGTTTTAAAAAGTAGTTTGTTTTTTTGTCAAGTTACACGTTTTTAGATTTTATTCTCACTAAGTGACACATAGGCTATTGATTATTATTAGTATTTATTCTCTAGTTTGTAAATGACTGTTGTATTTGTAGATAAACGCGCAAAGCATATTGATTCAAAACCTTTTTTATAAAGTTATTGTTCTGTTCAGCTCTGACGCATAGTTCTGGAATATAGTGTAATATAATTTAATGTACGTTTAGTTTTGTCAGAATTGTAACTCTTTGTTTTTAGTAAACAATGGGCTGTGTTGGGTTGACAACTGTTGTGTAAAATGTAAGCTAAGTGAATGCTATTGTCATCAATAATCCAAGTATATTTGATGACTGTACAAAACAATTCTAGATGGAAATTGAATTGTAAAATTTAGGCAAAATGATCTAATTTACAAAAATTCTCCAAATCATTTATAGTCATAGTATGGAAACTTTGGTCTAAATTGTTTAATTAATTTCACTACAATTCAGTGTTTACACAAAACACAAGGACCCTACAGCACTTTAGACAAACTCACAATATGCGGTATTATAGATTATAGATTGTCTGTGCTGTCTAGTAAGTTGGGGTACACATACAAACATGACGTGAAATGAGGGACTATATCTATGGCTCAAACTAGACTTCAAATCCTGGCAGAAGTTAAATTCGATAGTGCAAACTCAAGTGGTTATGCGTCTATCCAAACTGTAGTACCAGGACCTTTATAAATAGGTTGCATGGCACCAATGTAAACCTATGTAGCAATTTTTAAAATTGTGCAAAGCACCTGATAGTGGATGGGATAGGTAACCCATCTCCACCTAAGCTAGTATTCTGTGAATCTTGTAGCTCTCCAGCTGTAGTTTGATTTTGGCATGGCTGGTGTGAGGTCTGTTTCTCCAGGTAAGCATGCTGAATTAATCGCCTAGATTCTGAAGCATCATTATCCAGCCCTCCCAATATCAGGATGTGGCTGGTACAGATCATTATTTTTCCTACCAGGCACTGTTATCAGTGGGAGCGCTGGGTGTATCCTGTTAACCTCTTCCTTGAATTTTATAGGATATGTAGTGCCACACTCAATATCAGGTTTTGTAATAAGTTTTATTACAAATGAAAACACTCAGCATCAGTTTTTGTTTAGGAAAATACATCAATTAAATTGCTGCAAATATTAATTAAAACTGCAGCTTGCCAAATAAGCCATCTTATGTTTTTTTTTTAAATGAATGAAACTAGATGGGACAGGAAAAACATGCTCTGTCATATAAGGCAGGAGCTTTGAGGGTGCTTATTGTTGTTGACTACTTTATCTTTTTTTTTTTATCAAACATACATGCTGTACAAAATCTTGGAACAATCACTTCAGTGATTTAAAGTGGTCATGGTATCTGGAGTTAATGTGCAACCTTTCGCTGCAAAACCCTGCACATATAGAGTTTAACCCCCGTGCTGCCAAAGGTGTAACTCCACCTCCCGCAGCATCATTGGAGTGTCATCAGTCAGCCTGGAACTAGCTAATGTCAATTTTGTGCAAATTTCATTGTGTTAGTTATAGGTTGAGAACAGTCAGCTGACACTGTTACCAGACCAGTGAGAGCCTCGGATCCTGGAAGGGGGCAGATCGTTACTAAATGGTTTGCCCAATTACTGCGACACTGGGCCCGGGTACTACTAGCATCATAACTACAGGAGTCTGTAGTGGTTATGATGCTTGGATTAACCCTTTAATTCTAAAATGCACATTTGATAGTTGATTAATCATTATTCATCCAACAGACAAATAGAATAAAGCTGCTATATAAGATACATAACTTTCGGTGGGCTAGTAACTTTTGCTCTTTTGGCTAGTTGGCTTATCCTGCTACCAGGTAGGCATTGATTATATTTTTACAGATCTGATGATTTTTTTTACTGTACAGATATCTCATCAAATAAAATAAAGCACAATTTAATGACACTGTCTCTTGGTAGGAAAAATGCAGTTTGTTTCTAGGTCTGAGTATAAAAGCATAACTTGGTGCCAGTGTACAGCCTTGAATATCAGAGAACACACACAGAGCTGCACTTGTCTAGCAGAGCAAACATCATGTTTAGCAGCCAATATCTTATAAGAACATAATGAATAAGCATTTTCTAAATTTGTTTTAGTGTATAGATTAGGATATGAGAATTGGACATTTTAACCTTGTGAGTTATAAAGGGGTAGGGCCAAAGAGAGCTTCTGTGTGGTTGCTGCTTTGCCAAAGAAGGGGGAAAAAAGAATATTGGGGCATGCAGTGTTTCTATCCCACCAGTGGGGGCAGTATGATTAGTGCACATGGAGAGAGGCATCAATAGCAGACTTCAGAAGGGAACCTCACCTCAATCACCCTCAGTAAGGCAATAAATTAAATAATAAAGTCTTCTTAAAGGGAACTCTATAATCAAAATGTAGATTTTCTAATGCATATAATAATCCTCTGAAATAAATGTATTCAGTAAAATTTGCACAAATATTCCTTATCGGCAGAACTGGCCTCTTGTTGTCCATTTTGTACTTCCTTGTTAGTGCTGGGTATTTTCCAGCCAAATGTTTCTCATAATGAAGCACTGAGGACTGATTCCCAGTCCAAAATTCCCCATAAAGGTGAATGGTTTCATTGAAACGTAGCAATGCTCTGAAATGGCCGTAAGCAACTGTAAGTTTAATGATGGGTTTGATACTTTTATGGATTCATCTTTTATGTTGCCCCAAAGCAGGAGACATGGTTCTCTAAGCTGGAAAAATCCGCACAAATGGAGACTCTAAACAGAATGCTCTATCTCTTTTAGAATGTATTGGCTGAGCCACGTCAAGACTGTTCCAGACTATTTCTGTGGAGGGAATCTCCATGCTGAATAGATGCGGGGAGTAATTGTGAAAAGAGGTATCCGTGCTAGTGTGGGCGAGGAATGCAGGTGAACAGGTTCATTACAACATGTACCGTTTATCATTAAACCATGAACATCTTCTTTTCAATCTACCAGAGAAAACATCAGGAAACATTAAATGTTCAAGCTGCACAGACTATGCAGTTGCCAGATGTTATCCACTTCATTAAAACTGAAGTACTAAAGTGATACAGCTTACCTTCCTATCGTTCTTCTTATTTAGGAAGATTCTTTTTTCATAAACTATTACACAGAGCATAGCATAGATTGGTGAATAATAGTAGCATACAACTGCTCATTTGGTTTATAGAAAACAACCAACAAGGTAGAAAAAGGATAATATGGATAATTAAAGGAACATTAACCCAAAGGTTCCCTCTTCCCACCCTCCGCTCCCCACCCCACTAACCTGATCACAGTGCCGTGGTTCCCTCTACACTGGCTCTGGCTAAGTCTACTCTACTTCATTTGAAAAGATTCCTACAGGGATTTGCAAGACACTGGATGTTCTCATGCACAAACTACAGAAAGCCCCCACTAGAGGCAATCTTAACCCTGCAATGTAAACATTTCCGTAAATTGCAGTGTTAATCGGACAGGGACATTGCACCCAGGCCACTTTAATGAGATGAAGTGGTGTGGGTGCCTATAGTGTCCCTTTAAACACAAGAGGGGTGAATTGAAAATTTGTAGATAAGTAGAAGACTCTGCTTGATCTCTGTCCAGGATGTATCTTTACACACTACACCTACCATTATTCTTCTGCAACACAACATGGCTGTCAACCTTTACAACCTTTACAACCTTTATCAACAGAAACATATATATATATATATATATATATATATATATATATATATATTTGTAGTCATAGTGTTCCTTAAAACTCAGTGCTCACAAAACTTAAAGAGTTACTCCAAGCATTGTAACCAAAACAGCCTGCTAGGAGTACCGTAGTACCATTCCCCAGTAATGGAGAAAGCTTTCTCACCTCTTCAAGCCATACTAAAAAAAAAAACATGACTGTTGACCACTAATATAATTTCCATACACCCCACCACTTTTCCCCAAAAAACTACTCACATACTGATTTAGCTTTTTAGGTAGGCCAATAATTCCTCACAATAATCCACAGAGCCTACCTATTTGAATTATAGGGACCCCCCTCTTTGGGAGGCTAGTATGCATACTAAAAGCCTGGTGCGGATCTAATCGCTAAGATGCACCAATCAGCATCTTCTTACAAAGATGCATTGAGTCAACGTCTCCATGCTGAGCTCCAAGATACTGAAGAACGTCGGTCCTCCGATCTTTGGGAATCCCCCTGAATGAAAAATCTTTGGACTGAACCCAGAGTGACAGCCACTAGAAATGGCACTAGGCAGCAGTGTAAACACTGCCTTTTCCCTTTACATTGGTGAGGCTGCGTGAACAGTGTCTATGGCCCAAAAGCACTACATTAAGCTTTAGCGGTTCTGGTGCCTTTAGTGTCCCTTTAAAGTGTTTTCCAGGCATATTAGACTCTTATGCCGAGACGTCATGTTGAGTCGGTTTTAGAAGACAGAAATAAGTGGCAAATCAACCATTAATGCAGAGAGTGCAGCTCTGACACTTACTACCCATAGAGCTATAACAGTCCCTCCTTTTAACCCTCTGCTTTCTTTTTCCCCCCGGTAATATTCTTGTTGTTTGTCTTTGCATGTTTCTTTTTCTTACAGATTCATGACATATATATATATATAAGCAGGGTTGGCTCAGATTGATCGGCTTCGATAGAGGTTTATGCCAATAATAACCCTTTATAATAATAAGATAATAATGTTCCAGAATTGTTTATTTTATATCAGACACAAGGAACAATGCATGATAAGACAGATTGATGTAAGAAAGAAGAGATCAAAGAATCTCTTTTAGTAAACCTGAATTTTAGACGGAAATATTACATATTTTAATCCTAATTGGAGCCTTGTTGATATACACAGCGCACATTGCCCTTCCCCCCCCCAATGGCGGCCATGAAAACCACCAAGTCTGTGACATTGTTAACTTGTTTGAGGGGATCTTTCTTGGCAATTCACTAAAAGCATTTTAATATTGATCTTGGGTGGATATATCAATAGCTTTTAGTTCAGAATGTGAGGCAAATGTATAAATTTGAGTTCTATGGTCAATTTTGCAGTCTTGGAATCTGAAGCTGCAAAAAAAGTCTCTTAGATTTAGTAAACAGATGTTAAATGCAAGAAGGAAAACAAGTTTTGTGATTAAAAACGATTGATTAGAATATTAAAAAAAAATATATCTGTACACATTACACTTATTGTTAAGTTACATTCAGTAAACCCTCTCCGTCCCACCGCCAGTGGTGTATCTTGGATTTGTGCTGCCCTAGGCACAAATAAATTCAGGCACCCCGCTAATCTAAATTTGCCCCACCATTTCGTGTCAAGGCCACTTTTTGGAATGACAGACGCACACCCTCATTGACACATACACTGACTTACACACACTCTCAGACACACACTGATATACACACACTGACACGAACATCCGCACTAATTTGACAGACACACACATTCACTCACAGACACACACTGACAGCTACACACTCACTGACAGACATACAAACACTCACTGACAGAAACACAAACACACACACTCCCTAATAGACACACACACACACACTTACTGACAGACACACACTCACTAACTGACAGACACACTCACTGACAGACAGACACAGACATACTCACTGGCTCTGGCTTCTTCCAACTGCAGCAAGGTCTGCTGCTTAATATCAGAGGTGGAACTTACGTGAGGGAGGATGGGCTTGTGTATGGGTGGAGCTATTGACATGGGGGTGGAGCTATTGGCATGGGGTGGAGCCTGCACGCGCAAGGCTGACCACGAGCCTGTGTGCCGGTGTTCTATCAGTCTGCTATACTCCGTCAGATTGCTATACCCCAGTCACTTCCGGGGAGGGGAATCAGCTGGATCCTGTGCTGCACATGCGTGCTAGCACTCCTGCTACTCCTCCACAGCAAGGTCCTGGAAGGTAAGTAAAACTAGTTTTACACTTTCATTATAGTTAGTGCATTCACTAAGCTTAGGCACACGTGACATTTAGGGTTAAGTGAATGTACAAATTAGGGTTAGGTAAGTGCTTCTAACCTCTCTCACACTCTATTCTTACCCTAACCCTTGGGGTAAGGGTTAAAATAAAGTGTGAGAAATCACTATTTAGTGATATTCCCCTAAAGTGAAATATCACTAAATATGAACAAGTCCCTAATCCTAACCCTAATTTGAACCCTAACATTAACCCTAAATGTCCCATGTCCTAAGCTTAGTGAATGCACTAACTATAATGAAAGTGTAAAACTAGTTTTACTTACCTTCCAGGACCTTGCTGTGGAGGAGTAGCAGGAGTGCTAGCACGCATGTGCAGCACAGGATCCAGCTGATTCCCCTCACCGGAAGTGACGGGGGTATAGCAATCTGACGGGGTATAGCAGACTGATAGAACACCTGGGAAGGTGCTCGGAAATCAGAAGGGAGACTGTCAGTGCTCCCTCTGGCCCCAGCAGCATCAACGCAGCCCCCAGCACCTCTCTCCAGCCCTCAGCATCTCCCAGCACCTCTCTCCAGCCCCTAGCATCTCCCAGCAGTCCGAGGGAACATAATAAAATCACATGGCCCTGTAAGTTGCCGGGACTATTCCCGGGAGAGTGAATTGCCGGGACAGACTCCAGCTTGCCGGGACTGTCCCGGCAAAAACAGGACAGTTGGCAACTATTTGTAACCTCCTGGACTCCGTCTGATAAATGTTTATTTCTCATAATGCCTAGCTTGATTGCTGTATTCTACAGCATGATAACTGATCAATTTATAATGCAGTGGTTTAATACGTTTTATTTTAGCTGAATGATGGGTTATTAAATAGTGTGTTTTCTAGTGTAGTCAACCTTACACCTGATATAGATGGGTCATGAAAGAAGTGCTATTTGCAAAGCTCGCCCACATATTATATGTCTGGCAGAGCACAGGGAAGTCCGGTTTGTTTGAGAAGCATTCATGCGTTAAGAGGGTGTATTCTTTACACACCTTTGAATTCTCTGTGTCACTTCATTGACTTGAGACACACCGAGAGAGGCTCAGGGAACGCCATACACAGAATTACATCTATTAAGAATCTCTTCCGACTTCTGATCAATACAAAAACATTGGCCAAGCTGCCTGGTTCCTAAATGTATTTTCACATGCAGGACTTTTGCAATGCCACATCACCATTGTCAAACTATATATCTGCTTTCAAGTCAACTTACAATGTAGGAGTGTTTGGGCCTTTGAAATAATTCTTAGATGGCACATTTTTATTTTATGTTGTGTCTATATTAATAGAAACACTATGCTTTCTTTTTTATAATAATATATATCCACTGTCCCTGGTGGCGTCAGACGTTAACTGTGCATAAAATTGATATGAGACTGCCTGGAACTATAGTTATGGACTGGGTAATGACACTCCTATGATGCTAATGGAGGTAGGGTTACGACGCTGTCAGCAGAGGGGTTAATGTGTCGCTATTATATATTGAGCATAGTTCAGACGTGGGTTTCTGGTTAAGCAGTCTTGCCTATGCTGAAAAATATTGTGCTCAACAATGCTCAGAATCTGCTGAAACATTTGTTCTATAGTGTCATACAATTTTAGATGAGTTATGTTTCTTTAATGACTGCAAAATATAGATGACTAACATCCACTGCTGATACCACTGTCTTTGAAAAGTTAAACAGTCATTAAAAATCTTGGTTTGGACTAGGAAGTGGAGTTCAACACCATGAAAACTCATATCTTCCCTGTAGTGCTCTCGAAACTTAAGATGGTCATAGTGACTGAGTGTGCCAAAGCATGGCAGCATATTAGGCTTGTAAGTGCCAATCAGTTGATATCAAAGGGGAGAAATAATGGAATTTAACCCAATTCACGAACAGGGTTAGGAAAATCCCTACCTATCATAGTTGTATTA